AATGCGCTATATAAATAAACACTTACTTCTATAAATGTTTGTTCTTGTTTAAACCAATGAAGCTGGTAGATATGTGTTCGACCAATCTTTCGGTAACACAACATATCTATAAATCTGTAATTTTGTTAGCAGATTACCATCGATCATTCATACACACACCAGACTCATACTATGCAAAGTGTCTTGCCTCAAGACACAACGGCAGTTTGACACTTGGTGTTCCCAACACTGACACAGTGAGCCCCTCTCTGTGGTGGTGAGTGCCATGTTTACCTTCTTGCAGGCGCTGACGGATGAGGCCATGGTGCTGTCTGTGCTCAGCCCTTCCACCTCCACATAGTCCTCAAACATGGCCGACGACTGGAAGTTACTGCGGGGCACAAGGACGGACAGTTACAGCAGCTTTGTCAGACTAACTCCTCGTCACGTCAACAACACCTTGTTCAGAGGAAGAATAAAAGTCAGCCTGCTTATCAGCGCAGCGACAGGGACGGGCTGAAGGCAGAGAGGTTTGTTCCTCAGAACAAGAGTGGCACTGGTCCAGAAAGTTTACTGTTGTCAGCTCTGAATACTTCACACACTGGCACAGGAACACTGGGGACAGCTCTGCTTCATCAAAGAGGGTAACAGAAAATATAAAGCATGAGTGCTTTCCATGTGTTGACGTTTTCTCTCATTGTCCCATTGTGCTGCATGGAAAAAGTACGTACTCTTTTTATAATGAAGACAAATGTCCATTCAAAAGTCATTAGAAGGGCACTTCCAGCCTCCACCATCACTGTCATGAAGGTGATAAGCTTGTGGAGCAGTGCAGACACCTCACAGTTATTGTGGACCACACGCTGTGCTTTGAACCCGTGCAGTCTGCAAAAGTGCAGCAAAGAAAGTACTTTCTCAGGCCAAGAGCACGTTTAATGTTTCATCAGAAACAATGACTGTGTTTTATTATTAATTAAACTGAATTTTAATTTAAATCACTGCATCGTTTGGCTGCATATCCCAAACAAACAATAGCCGGCATTAGAGCCTGCAGTGGCCACTGGAGTGAGCCAGAGCACCTGTGCAGCCAGAGCACCTGTGCAGCAGAGCACCTGTGCAGGAGGCAGCTGCAGAGAGAGGCCAGCGCCACAGGCTTCGTGATATACAGAGGTTTATTTAACAGTTTGAAAGTGCCAGCCTGAGGTCCTGGATACAGAAACAAAAGGTTGGGAACTTATTTATATAGCGCCTTTCACAGTCCAGAGTCACAAAGCGCGATACAATTGTAGCGGGAATTTGTCCCTCACTCCACACAGAGATGGGAGTGGGGTTGCCAGGAGGCGCATACCAGACCTATTGTATATGTTTTTAGTGATAGGGGAAACTGGAGGAAACATACATGTACGCAGACACAGGGAGAACATGCAAACTCCACCCAGGACCTTCTTGCTGTGAAGCACAAGCGCTAACCACTGCGCCACTGTGCTGCCCCAACTTGGCACTTATCTGCAGACAATTACACTTTACTGCACAAGGAATTTGTACGCTTACACGTTGCATAATTTGGATTTGGGTGAACCTCCCCTCCTTTGGTCCTTTTAATCTCTGCATTTTATTATTTCTTGGTGTCTGTGTGTTATTGAATATTTTCTTGCAGCAAAACCAATTTCTCTAATGGGACAATACAGAGAACTTGGATTCTCTTTTGTGATGAACTATGTGAATTCCAGATCTTCAGTCGTTTCAGGACAATTTAATTTGAGAAAGACTTTTCAGAGAATGTTTTGTGAAGCAGAAAAGCCAATGCAATAGAAGCGCGGACGTTCGTAAGTAGGACACACGGAACATCAGACGATTCCTTATCATTATTTTGCATACGCGCGTCTCTAAATCCTCCCTGACATTTCCAGTGCTGTCCGAGAGCTCCACGACCTCCTGCTTTGAAGACACTGATTGCTTCTTTGTGACTGGACTCCTGGACAAATGATCATGGATTCACATACAGAGAACAAACAAGAAAATGACACCCAAAAAAAAACAAGCTTTCCTTTCTCAAGCTGTTTTCAATAGGATTTGATACAATGTTAGTGCTACAACTGAGTACAACTTAGACAACAATAAGTATTTGTAAAAAAAAATTGAGCTTGCTTGATGAACTTTTAATTTATTCCAGTAACAAATGCTATCCATCCATCTTCTTCCCCATTTCTGGGTCGGCGGGTAGCAATCTGTAACCCAAGTCACGGAGCACCAGCCCCTCACTGAGTCCCCTCTGTCACTGTGAGCATAGCCTTAATCTTTCAGGTAAAGTGGGGTTAAGTGTCTTGCCAAAGGACACAAGGACATCAGACATCAGTGGGAGTCGGTGGAGAGGGTCTAGTTATGGGCTCAAACCCACAACCTCAGACTCAAAGGCCAATGCTCTACTAACTGAGCCACTCTCGTCTTGCCCTAAGAAAAAATGAATGAGCAAAAATGCCAACTAGAAAAAGAAATTCTGAGTTCTATTGAGAGCTTGGAAATTGTTTTGTTTTTGCTACTTGCGAGTCGACTGCATAAACCATCCACATACACAGCTAATCAAATTTTAATAACGGTAATCAATACAAGAAAAAATCCGTACCGGTACATATTCAGGTAAAAATACTTCAACGATCATAAAGAAACTACTTTTATGCAGCAGAAACTATCACAATATTGCATCACGATCACAGTAATGTCATAGTGAGCCAAATAGTGACAGATATAACCTCATACAGCTAAAACGTGATTGTGTTAGAAAGAAAACGGCAACAATCTAGAAAGAAATATACAGACAATAAATATGGCACCCCAAAATTCATTGTTCCTTCTCTTAATTATTGAAAGACGAGTCAATATAGTAATTATTGTGACTATTTTTCGTGAGGATATTTGCGCCTCTTCCCTCCGTCTGGATCCCTCTCAAAGCACGGAGTCCTGAGGAGAGCAGACGGAATGCTAAAGCTCCTCTCTGTGGCTTCGGGTGCAATTCAAAGCACTTCGCATCAAGGAGCCCCTGTGGCACCTGCACAACCAGAGGCGGTTGTCTTGCCCAAAGACACAACAACATCATTGATCTGTATGTAGCAGCAGCGAGTGGATAGGAACTGCAGACGAGGGCTTTCGATACAGATCGCAAAAGGGAATATGGGATTATTCATTTTACATTTATTTTTTATCGATTAAAATACTTTGTAAACACATTTTGATTTCCATACTGCAGACATTATTGAAATATATGTTAAAATACGAAGTAGTTAAAAGAAGTTAAAAATAAAGGTGAGGTTAAAAACAAATACAAAAATAAATGACAGCAATCTCAATCAGCGATTAGTTGCGATCGACTCTCAGACCAGAAAAAAGTAACTACAGACTTCTTCCAAACCCTAAAATATGCACAGGATAAAATCATTCCAAGATTAAGTATTTTTTTGCAGAGATCCAGTCATTTATCTGAAATGGAGTTGGAATAAATGATTAATCAAAAGCATTTCTACATGGGCAATAATGTTGATATGGGCTGATTCTCATTCAGTAAGCTATGGACTCAAAATGACGAAGATTAAAAAGAGGAATATTCAACATATATATCTATCGTTAAGAGCGGGAGGTTCTGAAAAATCCTTCTCTGTTTGAAAAATGTTATTATAGCTTTGGATCAAATAAACCAATCTGCATGGAAACAACAAAGTCTGCAACACAAAACCCAGAAATACAACCTCTGTGAAAAATATACGTTTATGCAATGCAGGGCAACATTGCTTCTACAGAAGACAATTGGGGAAATGGACACGCAGCCTGCCTTTTATTAAGCATGCAGTACTTTAGATGCCTATTAAAGAACAGGAGCCATAAGAAACAGCCCATATAAAGCACTGTCACATAGTGGTGCATAGCTAATCTAAAAAACACAAAACAAAAAGACAGGTATATTAATTTAAGTTCATATTTAAATAGCTCCAGTTATGCCGTTTCCATTTCAGAGCAAATGTAAAATCCTTTGGTTTGGTGCCAGCTATAGGATGCCATCTGGATCACAGGCAAAACAAAAAATGCGTGACAGCAGCAAAATGATCTAACCTAAATAACATCACAGGGGAAAAAAAATGTCAAATTGGCGTTGAGGCAATGAGGGGAACTGATAATCTGTGTTTAAATAGGTTACCGCGTAGAGCTCCAAGGCAAACATAAAAAAAAAAACACTGGCACATCGTTTTTGCCCTGGATTAGTTTAGACAAGGCGCAGCTGCGGAGACTGGAACGGACCAAACCCGGGCGCATTTCGACTCAGAGAAAAGGTGGCTTTTTAGTGGCGACCTTCTCGTCACGACGCGCGGGGGATTGACAGCTGCGCGTAATGGCTTCGCCTTTCAGCCCCCGGGCAGGAGTCGGGCTGGCGAGAGGACGCAATTAACCCGTGACAAGTCCTGCCTTCCAGAACTTGACCAAGAAGTGCGAAGAGAGCACGGGATCAAGGCCACTTCTTTCACTGTACGGAACTTTTACAGCAGTTTCAAAAGCACTTGAAAGAGATCGTGTGTACAATATTTTTTTAGGGAAATTGTCTATATGTCTTCTGTGTATATAAGGTGATGCAAATGGTATTAGATGTGTGGAGAAAACTAAAGCAAGAGAACATTAACGTTTCATGGACATTGGTCAACTCCCTTTGGACCAATACCTATGTTTTCTATATGTTTGTGTGTTTGGACTGTTTGATTCTCTGATCTGTGTTGGCGATATCAACGGTTTTGTAAAGTCCTCTCATATAAATACTGTTGAGATTTAGGGCTATACAAGAATACATTGAATTGAGTTAAATAGCATACTATATAAATCAGAATCAGAATTATATAAGTGCTTTGCGACATTTTGCACATGTATTTAAATATCATTGTAAACAGCATTGATCTGTGTTATCTTTCTTCCACATGATACAAGAATTTTAAAAGACTTTACTTTGGTTACATGCGTGGTGTCGATCTCTCACCTTGCCGTTTTCAAGAGACCCGTGTTGGTCCTGGCCATCCCGTGCGTATATCCACTGCAGAGTTCTCCTCAGTCCCGGGGGTGAGGGGGTGGACGCGGTGGACCCGGTAAAACCACAGTCTGAATGCGTAAAAGTCCTCGTGGTCCAGATGCGCATTCCCGACGCTGTTCGGGCATGCACAGCACGAGCTCCGTCTGACCGGTGCCTCGCGTGGATCTGACGGAGTGAGGCTCACGGTGCTCACGGTGCGCACGGGGCACGGGTATGACCAGTGCGCGCCTACGTCACAATGTGTACAAACAGAGGCGCACCACACGAGGGGCGCGCGTCTCCCAGCCTGCAGTCTACGCGCGAGAGACAGAGAGAGAGACAGAGAGAGAGACACACAGAGAGAAACACAGAGAGAGAGAGACACAGAGAGAGAGAGAGACACACAGAGAGACAGAGAGAGAGACACACAGAGAGAGAGAGACAGAGAGAGAGAGAGACACACACAGAGAGACAGAGAGAGAGACAGAGAGAGAGACACACAGAGAGAAACACAGAGAGAGAGAGACACAGAGAGAGAGAGAGACACACAGAGACAGAGAGAGGGACACAGAGGGAGATAGAGACAGAGAGAGAGAGACACAGAGACAGAGGGAGAGACACACATAGAGAGAGAGAGAGACAAAGAGACACAGAGAGAGGGACACGGAGAGAGAGACACGGAGAGAGAGACACAGAGAGAGAGAGACACACAGAGAGAGAGACACAGAGAGAAACACAGAGAGAGACACAGAGGCAGAGGGAGAGACACAGAGAGACACAGAGAGAGATATAGACAGGGAGACATAGATATAGAAATAGAGACACAGGACAGAGAGACAGCGAGACTGAGAGAGATAGAGACAGAGAGACAGGACAGAGGGACAATGAGAGACAGAAAGTTACAGAGAGCGACGGAGAGACACAGGACAGACCACAGAGAGACAGCAAGACAGAGATAGACTTAGAGAGACACAGAGAGAGACAGACAGAGCAGAGGGACAATGATAGACAAAACAGCGATAGAGACAGGGAGACAGAAAGATTCAGAGCAAGACAGAGCGACACAAGACAGAGAGATATTGTAGAGACAGACATAGACAGGAACAGAGAGAGTCAGGACAGAGGGACATACAGAGACACAAACAGAGGGATAGAGACAGGGACACAGCCAGAGACAGAAAGATACAGAGAGAGACAGGACAGAGAGATAGAGACAGACATACGGGACAGAGAGAGACAGGGAAGAAGGACATGGGGAGACACAAACAGAGGGATAGAGACAGGGAGACAGAGAGACTGAAAGATACAGAGAGAGACACAGGACAGAGGGACAGAGAGATAGAGACAGACATAGACAGGGGGACAGACAAAAGAGACAGGACAGAGACAGGTAGAAAGAAAAAGGACAGAGACAATAAGACAGAGAGAGACACAGACAGACTCAGAAAAATAGAGACAGAGAGACAGACAGAGACACACAGAGAGAGATATAGAGACAGGGAGACAGACAGAGACAGAGGACAGCGAGAGACAAAGGACTGAAGACAGAGAGACAGAGGCTGCATTTTTACAGTTTTGAATAATTGCGAGCCACATCAAGTGCAGTTGGATGGTCCATTTTGTATTCCTCCCTGATACAGTAATCACATAGCAAACAGTTGTCAATAAACTCTTAGAATAATGTAAGATAATTGCTCATATCTGCAGCTGTTTTTGTTGTTGGTACAATTAGTATCACCTCTGCAGCGAACAGAAATCATACTGACAAACATTACTTGGGAGTTTAAACTTCTATCATTCACTTGAAACTTTAAGTCCGGGTACTATCCTTACAAAGATAAGGCAATGTGCATGTTTTAAAAAAAAATAAAAAAGGTCTTGTGAAAGGTGTAATTCAGCATTTTACTGAATACTCATATTAAAGGAGCTATACCCGTTTCTGCAAGGTTTGAATGTTTAGCACCGCCCCCAACTCGCTCACAGGCTTCTCATTTCCCCTACGCTCTCATCCCACGGAGCCCTCTAGTTTTATTTGCGATCTGATACATACACAAATATTAGCGTTAGCGCAACGCAAGCTGCACAACAATCACTGATGAAATGGTATAAAAGCAACACACTGCTAACAAAATACATAACTTAAAGATTACTGCTAGTTTTGCGTCTGAATGTAGTCCGAGCATAGATAGTCTGAGCGTAGATAGTCCGAGGCGGTCCCGCAGGTCTCTCTCATAGACAAGTCTCTCCAGAGGATACGATGTAAGTTAGCTATGTTCATCCGGGCTTGATTTCTTCTTTGATCATATTTTCGCTTTAGTTTCCTCTTCTCTTCCTCACAGTTGTGTCGTTTGGGCTGTTTTGCTGTGTCTGCAGGAGTTCTAGCCAATTCGGCTAACATGTTACTGTGTTTAGCAGCGCTGTAGAGGCTATAGGACGCAGCCTCGTTCTGTGATTGGAGGAGAGCGGACGTCACACTAAGTCTCTACTCAGCACTTTTTACAGGCTGAATTCATACACAACTGAATCAATGAGCTCAAGTTTTCAATTAAATTACAGATTATAATACAACTTGTGTGTTGTAAGCATTTTTATGAACTCATCAGAAAATAAATCGGGTATAGCTTCTTTAAAAACTATATTGTCTTTTGCATGCTTGTAGAAAGAAGCATTATTGAGTCGCTATTTGATACTTTGGGCAGAGAGCTGATTGGCTGAGGGAGTGTGCTTGTTGTTTTCCCTTTTCTGCCTGACAAAGCTGATCTAAAGCTGTGACAGAGGCACAGAGACACGTGGAAACTAGAGATAGAGGCAAACTGTTTGAAGTTCTTGAAAGCAGTTAATTTCAGTAGCCGACATTATCTATTTGTGATATGGTTTTGTTGATGACCTTGAAAAGCACTCTGAAGGGTTTGTCGGAGTCAGTGCTGTGTTCACCTCATGAAAACATCAGTAATCACCAACATCACGTGGACTCTTGAATCTTGAATCTATTCATCTCACTCGGTCTTAATTCTCTTGGTGAAGTGACAAAAACATGTACTTTTATGACTGAATTGTCACTCTAATAATAAAGACCAGAACATTTCGATTTACCGGTCGATCTAGGTTCCCATCCTCATCTTGGCTCGTTACCCAAAGCCATAGAGGGTAATGAGCCAAAGGACGAGATCGCAAATACGCAAATATGAGCTTATTTTGCGTGGAAGTTTGGGCACCTCCACTTAGACCGTTCCCCGCAACCCGGCAACAGGTAAATGAGGTCTACGATTTCTGAGCCTAGTACTGTAAGAATGCATGTAAGAATCTGGGACACTGAAAGAAGATTGGAATAAGATGTTGGCCGGACTCTGTGGGTGGGATAAAGTCTCTCTCAGGAGCAGATCAAGATGCTGAATATCAAAATTTTAACCATTGTTTTCCTCAGGCCTGTTTTGTATTTTATCATTCCATTGATATGAAGTAAATGTTGTGAATGTAAATGGATGCACGGAAACCAGTAAATACAATTCTATATGGATCAGAATATTCTATTTTCTGATCCGTTTTTGTGTAATGTGTCCTCTACATTTGACCAACCCTTGTCTCTGGGCCGGTGGATGAAGTTTAAAGGTATATATAGGAGGATTTTCTACGTCCGGGTGGATCATCAAGACTATTGGTCCTGCCAATTGTCAATCATTCTGGTGTTATATGCTCGTCAGACAAGACCAGAGAGTTTTGTTCGAAAAGTGGAGAGAGCGGTTCTTTCCTAAAATGTCAAAAAATCCTCCTAAACCTTTAAGATTTAAAAACCGTTTGTGACCGGAACACCATGAACACTGAACACCTTATGCACCTTATTGCTTTTCTTCACGGCTGAACACATGAAGACACATCCTCTGAAAGCTGTCTTCTAATAATATCCACCTTTTGCTGACAGTACATGTGAATTTCCAGCAATTCCACAAGTCGCTGGGTAATCAAGAGAGGCTATAACGAGCGGTGACCTATAAGCTCTCCATTCTCCCACTGTGCCACGCCGATAGGCTGGAACACGCATGCACAGGAAGCAGCGGCCGTGAAGCCTTTGTCTAAACTCAAGCCCCGTGGTCAAAGCTGAAAAGATCATTGGTGCCCGAAAGAGAGCGTATTTTCAGCACATGGATTTTTACATGCTGCTCGTCTGCCACCTTCGCCTTTGATCAAAGCAGTACACAAAGGACACCGCGCAAAACTCATGCGGAAATGTGGTCCAGGAACAGAGATATCCAGCTTTAACTTGGAAATACTGTATATATTGCTTATTAGTTGGAACTCGGTTGAGAGACACACAAACAACAAAAGCAACATCACCACCTCTGCTGCTGTGACTTAAAGTGCTTCATGCTATTGTTAGCTACTTTTAGACTCACTACTTCATGTTTTTAAGTTAGCCTCTTTGTATTTTTTTTTTTATGATTTTTGTTTCTTGAAATGTTTGTATTTTTACTCAGTCCTTAATTCTGTTTTTTGTTACTTGTCTCAAAGCTTTTGTTTCCTTTAACATTTTTGGCTTTTTTTCCCCCTTTAAATTCTCTTTAGGTAATTTTGTTCATCGTTATCTGTAAAACGAGATGGTACATATCAAGGGGCATTCCATTAATAAACTAAACTACGCTTATGTATTTGTTTTGTTGGATGGATGTGTTTCTGCAGCTACTGGACATCTGAGTTTCTCCTATGGGGATCAATACAGTATCTATATATCTTTCTATCAGCTGTTTGTTCATTCATCCTGAATATTTCAGATCTTTCACTACATGTGTCTATATGCAGTTTTCTGGCTGATATACTGATCATTAGAGTTAGACATTAGCACAATTGAAAAGACTGTAAGAAAAGATTCTGTTAACGTCTGGCCTTTGAGGAAGCTAATCCAATGATTCTATAGGTCACTTTTTCCTTTTCCTATTTGGACTTGTAGGCCCCGTTTATACGGAGGCGCTGTGCAGACGTTGCCAAGCTATGAACAGAAACGACCAGGCTCCTTATGCAAATTTTACAACGTACATACGAGGATCAAAAACTATGTAGTTCTAGCACCCGGCCAGTAGTGGGCAGAGGAACTTTATAACACGATACACGTGAGCCCCAGCCCCCCCCCAGCAGTGTACTCACTTCCTCTGCAAGACGTGAAAGATGCACCAACATCATTCTGCATGTAAAAGCAGCTGCGAAAATCGAAACTGAACCTAGAGCTTTGCGTGGTCTCGTTTGGACGAACGAAGGAGTAGAATCGTCCTCCGTGTAGCGCTCGAAGCACACGTAGCTAGTTAGTGCACCCGCCGCCATTGTTGTTTACGTTTGTTCTCGGATACTGAGCATGTCCAATTTTACGTGCGGGGAGCAGCGGGGAGGTGGGGGTCAGATCAGCAGAGAATTCACATCTTTTTCCTTACGCGGGTGTGAAAGAGCCCCCGCTGAGCAGCACATCTGAGCTGTCCCATTCTGGGGCTGGATCTTAACTCTTACGTTTTCACCTGGAACACAGTCTCCGTATGAACGGGTAGCAACCGACATTCAACTATAGCGTTTTACTGCCGCATTGTCACTGTATAAACAGGGCCTTCAACTCACACCTCCTCGAGAGCTCCTCCCAGGTCCTGGAGGAGGAAGCTGAACCTGGAATTACCGGTCAATCTACGTTCCCAGCCTCACCTCTGGTCATGAGCTTTAGGTAATGACTGAAAGGATGAGACTTCTGGAAGCTTCCCTTCCTGGGGAGGTGTTCAGGGCACGTCCCACCAGGAGGAGACCAGGCGAAGACTCAGGACACGTTGGAGGGATTATGTTTCTCAGCTGGCTTGGGATTCCCCCGAATGAATATGCATACACTGCTGCCCCCACGACCCGGCAACGGATGTAGCGGAGGAAAATGAATGGTTGGACTTGCTCATTATTTCTATCAGTGCAATTGAATTGAAAAGTGTTTATCTGAAGCAATTTTATTAAAAGTAAGTAAGTAATAGTATTTATATACCGCCTTTCACAGACCAGAGTCACAATTGTGGGCATTTGTCTCTCACTCCACACAGAGATGAGAGCGGGGCCAGTACAGGAGGCGCATGCCAGAACTATTGTGCATGATTTTAGTGGTAGGGGAAACCGGAGCAGACACGTGGCGAACATACAAACTCCACTCAGAAAGACCCTGTTCCGCCCGGGATTCGAACTTAGGACCTTCTTCCTCAGAAACAAGAGTGCTATCCACTCAGCCACCGTGCCACCAAAAAAATGTATCATGAATATGTTGAAAGGACTGAAACAGAACTTTATACAGAATAGATTTTGTACAAAGATATTGAAACCAAACTTCTCCAGTGTTCTTCCATTCCCCATTTTTCCGGCTGATAACACATACAGTAAAATGGCACCAAGGCACATGTTGCTCTTGTTTGTAAGTGAAAATGTTGCCTCTGAGATAGAGTCATGGACGTTCGAGGCAGAGTTTGTGGGCTCAGGTGGTTCCTGGAATCGGGTGCAAGGATGTGGATGGATGCTTGGCTTTAGAAACATGGAGAGTGGACGTTGGGCTGCAGTGTCCGTTTAGCTCTTACTTGGGCCGACAGAAACACAGAGGAACTGAGGCGCGGTCCCCATGAGGTTCCTCACGGCTCCCCCTGCTGTCCCCGTTCTGTTTGTACCGAACAAAACAGCCTTTTGAGCTAGATCCAGACCCAGTGTGAGGCCTGCGAATGCTGCCTGTACTAGCTTGTTTTGCCAAATGTTCACATGTTTATATTTGTTTAACTTTATAAAAAAAAAAAAAAGTACAAGCGCATTAGCATGTGTATTTTAACTGCACATAGGGAGTCAATATGTGTATATATTATGGTGTATGTGTCGCAAACAACAACAAAAGACAAAATGCAGGACTGCAAAGTTAGTGATTTAAAAACGTCAAAAACTAAAAGCAAAAGACAGAGTGAAAATTAAAAACTGAACCAGAGATGTGGCAGTGACACTGTTGGAATGGGGAGTGAAGGACCACACAGGGTTTTAATCCACAGGACACAGATGAGCACAGAACAGGAAGTAGAACTGAGGAAAATACAGGGGTTAAGTTAATAAAACAGGTCATTAACATAATCTCTTATTCAGAGGACGTCGTGCAGCATTTTGGCACATAATCAAAAACAATAACATTTCTATATTGCAGACATAAGCTCAATGAATCCACTTGAAATGCTATGAACTATTCTGTCCCTCATTTGCATAATATCCCTAACACAGTTTAAAAGCAGGATTTTCAGAAGAATAAACTTCCAAAGTAAACAACACATTCAAGTTTACTCAGAATAAGCCGCTGCTGATTCCACAGACAGTGGCTCGTGGCTGTCAGGCGCCGCTGCTGAGTGTAGAGCAAAACATTCACCTGCTTTTAATTCCGTTAAGGCAAAACCGAGCCCGCAGAGTCACAGAGCAGCTTTGATTATATTAAAATTAGAAATATGCATTCATTAGGGGAATGGAAGGATAAACACATTGAAATGAATGTGAAAATTATTTGTTTTTGTCAGTGAATTTAGCTTCTCCTTTCTGATGAATTTTATCTTTTTTTAATTTTTTGATTTGAATACTTGAATACTTGACCTTTGCTAAGTTACATAAAGTCTGGCAAAAAGTTCAAAGAGAGAAAACTTTTAAGACACTTTTTGTTTTACGGAAATAGATCCTGTAAAGATATGAACCCTACATTTAACTTAACACTTCTAGGCAAGGCAGGTTTATTTGTTTAGCACAATTCATACACAATCAATCAATCAATCAATCAATCCTTTATTATCTCACAATGGAGAAATTCAGTTCGATGAATAAACATCAAGGCTGGCTGCGTACTCCATCTTCATATTTTCGCGCTCCTTATGTCAATTATTCAACTACGGAAGCTTGTTAGGTTCACTTGTGAGTGTGTTTTTTCCCCGCTGGTATCATGTTATTTCATGATACTTTCATGAAATAACATGATAAATATGTTATTTCATGAAACACAACTATCATGTTATTTCATGAAACACAACTATCATGTTATTTCATGATACACAACTATCATGTTATTTCATGATACACAACTATCATGTTATTTCATGATACACAACTATCATGTTATTTCATGATACACAACTATCATGTTATTTTATGATACACAACTATCATGTTATTTCATGATACACAACTATCATGTTATTTCATGATACACAACTATCATGTTATTTCATGATACACAACTATCATGTTATTTCATGATACACAACTATCATGTTATTTCATGATACACAACTATCATGTTATTTCATGATACCAATTTATCAGAAGAAGCTGACAGCTTCTTCTTCTGTATCTACAGTATCATGTTATTTCATGATAAACTGGTATCATTAAATAACATGATAAACTGGTATCATGAAATAACACGATAGTTGTGTATCATGAAGAAACATGATAGTTGTGTTTCATGAAATAACATGATAAATTGGTATCATGAAATAACATGATAAATTGGTATCATGAAATAACATGATATTTATCATGTTATTTCATGAAAGTATCATGAGATAACATGATACCAGCGAAAAAAAAAAAAACACTCACAAGTGAATCTAACAAGCTTCCGTATTCAACAGCAGAGAGCAAAACAAAACATATATTTCAATCAGTGGGGGCGGGTCCCGGCTCAAAAGTGGCCAAAATGACGTGCGCTGACATGCTGCAATACCACCCCGGGCCGATGGGGGTGGACCCGGAATTAGAATTAGCCAATGCTAACATATAGCATCTTCTTACCTCTGGAAAACCTCTTTACAAGATGGTCCAAAAGTTGGCTCTTGGCCCAAAGCTCCGTTCCACATGTGTGTCAATGCTGAGGGGGGTGTTCTGGACCACTCTAGTTTACTCGCTGTGAATTTTTGAAGTTTCTCGTTCAAATGAATGGAGCTCTCGCCGGCTGACGCATGCGCAGATGCGTTTTTTCACAATTTTCTTGTGGGCGGGACCACTCGCGGCCATTTTGGATAGCTCCAGTAGAGCACATTTTTTGGCCCATTAGTTAGAACGGCGGAGATAGGCGTGACTACGTCCGTTACTATATACAGTCTATGATTTCAACAGACATTATTGGAGAGAAACATTACGCTGAAAACGTGCAGATCTTTTTAAAGGTACATTATCACTCTGACCCGCCTCGTCCAATATGGTGAGTCAGAGGGGGAGTGTGGGTGGGGGAGGTAAGGGGAAGACCACCACAGACTGAAGAGAGAGAGAGGCAGACCATGTAGTAGGGAGGGGAGTCCCACAACTGGTGAACTGAGAGGCAACTCAAAATACTGAACAGAACAAGATCGAGACAGTCAATCAAGACATTCAAATCATAAATAATCACAGTACATTAAAAAGAGTGAATTTAAAATCCTTCAGTTGTCTGCACAGCTAAACAGAAACGGTTTGTCATTGTCAGAGAAGAAGCCTGTCACACATTTTCAGGAAGACTGTTTTATTTATTATTTTAGCTGCATGAATCTGAAACGCTGCCTCCCCATGTTCAGTTCTGACTCTGGCCCTGACAGGGACTGTGCTCCTCTGAGTCCGAGTTGATTCATATGGAAACGCTCACATGTCACTTATGTACATTGGTACTCTTCTACAATCTGACAGTTCAGTACAAACATAGGGCAAAGAGACCAATCTCCTGCTCCGATAATCGCCACTTGTTTTTTAATGCGTTTGTTGGAGGAATTTGATGCATGGACGCGCGTCTGTCGTTCTGCCGTGCGTTGGGGAAAAAACAGAGCAGCAGTGGTGGGCGGGTTTTGATGCTAATGAGTTTGATAACCGGTACATCCCTATCGGCGAACACATTAGCAGCACTTGTTTACAGCACTTCACTCTGAGTTGACGCCAGAATGTCAACTCAGAGTGAAGACAAATGTTTCCAAGCACCACGTCTCCCATGTCAGTCCTTGTTTAGCTCATGTTTTGTTTGTTTTCAAGTGTCTTCATCGTCCTGTTTTTGACCTGGCTTGTTTCCCCGTGACTACTTTGCTGCTCTCTGATTGGTTGCTGCATGTGGGCGGAGTGAGCATGAATCTCATCTCCTGGTTTCACTGCATGCATCTAGCCGCCGTACTCGCCGCTGCTGCGCCGCATCAACGCGTCTGCCACGTGGGACAAAAGTGCATTCTGCGACGTACATGGAACTTCTCACGTGGGTGGATGTCTTCATTTACTTTGGACTGAAACGCGTGATCCAGTGGGAACACTGCTTGAGTCATATTTTCTACTACTTCCAGAAAATACAATACAATAAAAGTGTTGCACGGGCTCAGGGATACATCTGTTTCATGACAAGGTCAGCACTTGTGCTTTAGACATTCATAACAACAATCTAAAATGGAGATTGGTTTATTAATAATTGCAAAAAAATTAATGGATTAAAAAAAGTAAAAACAAAAATAACTAGAACATATTAAACATGTATATGTGTTTATATGCCTATGTGTATATGTTTATGTGTGTACATGTGTTAATATATGTGTAAGTGTATGTATGTGTGTATATGTGTTTATGTATATGGATGTATGTAAAATGTATGTACATGTGGATATGACACACACACACATATATATAATATATATATGTGTGTGTGTGTGTATGTGTGTATTTACTGTATATATATGTAGAGAGAGAGACATTTTTATTTTATTATAAATGTTTCATTATTTTCTTCATCTTCTAGTACAGGTTGAGGTAAAGTACATTTGTCAATTTGTCAAACAAAAAAAAGCTGATGACTACGAGATATAGAAAACAGTTAATAGGTTTTACTTCTTCTGACAAATTTTTTGAGTTGATATCTAGTTATTTAAATTAAATGTATGTTGTAAATCTAAGTGATGTATTGAACTCAGAATAACATTTTCATTCATTCATTATAGAATCTGACAATAATGGATATCGATATTTTTCCCAGCCCTAATTGGAAACCTCCAGCAAAACCAGGGGTCAGGAACCCAAAAGGTTCAAAGAGCCATATTTGACAAAAAAAAATGAAAACAACATCTGTCTGGAGCCGCAAACAAAAACACAGCCTTGTATAAGGCTTTCATGAAGGTAACACAGCCTTCAATATGTATTAGCTATATTAGCCTGATATCTAAAGGACAAAGTAAAGGCTACAAATACATAATAAGCATCCATGATTATCAAATGTGTATTTTCATTGCAGCGTGTCCTGGAGAGAATTACGCACCACGTGACGAATCTGCCTTAACTTTAACTTTTATTTTTTAACTTTCATGCAATTGTACAAATACAGTAAATAAATCTGCTTTTGGGCTCAGAGTTCACATACCTGCATCACAGGCTCGATCACATCACAGGCTGAAGTTTTCTGGAGAGGAATTAACGTCCTTAATGGCCTTTTCTTTCGCAGTCTTTTCGGAGGTTTTTGAAGTCTGAAAAAAGGTGCTATGACTTTGTGATGAATTAATCCTTCACAAAATCCCTGTGAAAGGTGTTTAGCGCTTTATTGTTCCTCGTGTAGCAACAAAACTTTTCATTACGACGCAGACATGAAGCAGTCCTTCCTCATTGCCTCAAAGCAA